CTTACAAAAGCAGGACGCGGTGTGGACATCATCACGTCACGCAACACCAGCAGTGACCTCGGTAGGCGAACGATTTCAACTGTTGCACAATACGGGAGTGAAGTTTCTCGAACGAACCTACGTTTATTTGCGTCACAATAATTCGATCTCTTTACCCGACTTGTCAGTGACTGTGAAAGGAAAAAACAACTCGGCAAGAAATGCGTCCATGACACAAGTAAAATGTTTGTATATATACACACACACCATTAGGCGATTGATCATTTAGAGGACATACAGACACGGAGAGGATCACGAGTGACCAAATACCACATGTCACACCGTGGTGCCTGATGAGAATTACATGTTTTTTAAAATGTTTTATGATCTTAGCAGTTTTTTTTATTGACATTACGAATAGTTACCAATTAGTACAAGTGAGCGTAGTTAGATAGAATCCTTCACGTGTAGCTCATTTAAGCTTGCATAGCTATTCACTGCCGACATTGCATAACGTCGTGATCGTTTTCAATGGACAGCCAACAGATCATGCTGCAGAATCTTGATTTGAAGCTTTCGTGACGGCAGAAATCCATACTCTGTGGTTCTATCGGTGAAGTCGCGTAGGTAGAAAAATAATAGATCACGACGTTTCGATAGCAACACAAGCAATCGTCATCAGGTGGGACAACGTGACACGAGGTTGTATAGAGGCCTCAGCATTGCTGCCGCGGCGGTCCACTTTACTGCTGTGACCCCGGGTGCTGCTGCGGGGTCAACTTTCTGCCCCCCCCCCTCTTCTCCCCCCCCCCCCCTACTGCCGAGGCCTACTATGTAACCTCGTGCCACGGCAGCTCTCTCGCCTACTTCAGCACTATACACTACACTATACACTACACACCTGTACACTACACTATACACTACAATATACACTATACACTACACTATACACCTGTACACTACACTATACACTACACTATACACCTGCACACTACACTATACACTACACTATACACTACACACTACACTATACACTGCACTATACACTACACTACACACTACACTATACACTACACTATACACTACTATATAACCTCGTGCCACGGCAGATCTCTCGCCTACTTCAGCAGTTGTTTCTTGCTGTGGTTGTCCCACCTGATGACGATTGCTTGTGTTGCGATCGAAACGTCGTGATCGATTATTTTCTACCTATGTGACTTTACCGAAAGAGCCAAAGAGTATAATGCTGTTGATTTTCCAAATAACCTTTATTTAAATAAACGGAACTTCTGCAGATTTACACACACTGCTGGATGGAGGCCTTCCCAGACCCTGTCGGTCATGGGGCGGTTGGTCAATGCTGGGTGGTTAAAGGGACCGGTTAAAAAAATCACTCGACACCGCTGTGAGCCACAGTTGGGAACCGAACTCAGATCGCGAACACACCGCAACCCGTATGCGCATGCTTTCCCGGATGAACAAATGGTAATTATTATTATTATTGTTGTTGTTATGAAACACATTCTCTTTGGTAACGCGGCTGCATTGGCGGTGGTTTGCACGCAAGCACACACATCAAAATCAACTCAACGCATTCGTCAATAAAATTGCACAGATAAAGGGGCATTGCCCGAAACGTCACTCATTATAGTCGTATACGTCTCTCGTTTCATGGCAGTACAATTTACGAGTGTTTTGCTTTTTTTGACATTCTGAATAGTAATCTTTTAACGAGTCAGTCATTTCGACACGCCAAGAAGGTCGCAGTCCTCATCCACCTGAAATTCCCCACCGTCGCGATGAGATGAAGACGGCACAAAACCCATAGATTGATTCAGTTAGCAAAAAACCCATAGATTGATTCAGTCGGCACAAAACCCATAGATGGATTCAGTTAGCACAAAACCCATAGATTGATTCAGTCGGCACAAAACCCATAGATTGATTCAGTTAGCACAAAACCCATAGATTGATTCAGTCGGCACAAAACCCATAGATTGATTCAGTCGGCACAAAACCCATAGATTGATTCAGTCGGCACAAAACCCATAGATGGATTCAGTCGGCACAAAACCCATAGATTGATTCAGTCGGCACAAAACCCATAGATTGATTCAGTCGGCACAAAACCCATAGATTGATTCAGTCGTCACAAAACCCATAGATGGATTCAGTCGGCACAAAACCCATAGATTGATTCAGTCGGCACAAAACCCATAGATTGATTCAGTCGGCAAAACACCCATAGATTGATTCAGTCGGCACAAAACCCATAGATGGATTCAGTCGGCACAAAACCCATAGATGGATTCAGTCGGCACAAAACCCATAGATTGATTCAGTCGGCAAAAAACCCATAGATTGATTCAGTCGGCACGGAACGCATCGAGGGATTCCGGTCTGTGTAGTTTTCCCGCACAGCTCCTGTGTTCAATCCACTGCAGGAGGAGAGTGCCTCCTGCCACGAGTGTGCGGGGGGGGGGATGAAGGACAGCAAACAAAACTATTTTTCTAAAGTTGATGGAAGAATACTTGGGCTCATTTAGAGAGACCGTGCGTCACTCTGTGATCGTGTTTATCAAAGAGCAGCCAACGTCTCTGTCTACCTCGCTCCGTAATCCCGATCAAGGGCAACAACCCGTAACGTCTGCGTTATTGTTTTCCGTAAATCGGCGATAGCCGCAGTTTAAATGTTAGAAAATTAGGTTAGTGGTGAGTTCAAGCGGCACTCAAGCCTTGAACATCTCACACGCGCGCATCAACACACGCACTCGTGGCATTAGTGGTGAGTTCAAGCGGCACTCAAGCCTTGAACATCTCACACGCGCGCATCAACACACGCACTCGTGGCATTAGTGGTGAGTTCAAGCGGCACTCAAGCCTTGAACATCTCACACGCGCGCATCAACACACGCACTCGTGGCATTAGTGGTGAGTTCAAGCGGCACTCAAGCCTTGAACATCTCACACGCGCGCATCAACACACGCACTCGTGGCATTAGTGGTGAGTTCAAGCGGCACTCAAGCCTTGAACATCTCACACGCGCGCATCAACACACGCACTCGTGGCATTAGTGGTAAGTTCAGGCGGCACTCAAGCCTTGAACATCTCACACGCGCGCATCAACACACGCACTCGTGGCACATCCGTCCACGCACTCGGATGGATCTCTCACGGCACTTGCGGAGTACAGCGAGTGATTCCATGGCTCCGTCTCCAAGGTGGTGGTACTCCTCCACGGTCAGAGGCAGTCGGCAACCAAAACAACAAGGAGGCATTTTTCTCGAATTCGGTTTATGAAAGAACCCCCCCCCCTCAAAACATTTCAAGAGCCGTGATTGCACTGCGTAGTGAATACCGGGTGCTCTGTAATAGATAGCGCGTCACGAAGCAGCAGTCCTTGCCAACGCCTGTGACCGTGCGTATTAAACATGGTGATTCACGTGCCTCCGATTAGCGCGGTTGGCGACGTACGGTGTGAAAAAAGTTCAACGGCAAATACGTGATTCACGTGGATTGCTCAACACACACGTTGGCGTGTTTGTTCACCCGGCAACTCTCTTTGGCTGTGTGGGGTGGAGGAGGGATGTACAACACATATTGAGACATTGCGCCCAAGCGATCTCACCCCCCCCCCATCCCTAAAAAAATCGCGTATTCATCACTTTCTCGCTGACAATCGTCATGTTGTGAAAACTGATATCGTCGCAAACCCCCAGTAACCAACCCTTGTCTTCAAAGTGCAGGGTCACGGGCGTGCACCACCATACAATCGTGTAAATGACACAGACGACTGCTGTGTGATGAAACATGGGAATGGCTACATTTGGGAATGGTTCATATGGGAATAGGCAATGTTTGTCTGTTTGGTTTTGTGTAACATCTCGGGAAAGCCTGTTAGGAAGCTTGATCGTTCGCTTGTTCACTCACCGAACACTCACTTATTGACTTACCAAATCACCGAAACACTTACCCACCCACCGACTTACTCCATTCACCCACTTGCGAGCTCGCTCACTCATACATTCACTGCCTTACTCAGCGACTCACCAACCTAACCACTCACTTCATCCACTCAGTTACACGCATACCGCTCACCGACTCATTGGCCTCGCTCACTTACTAACCCACAAACACCTACCAGCACGTGTTCGCTCGCTCTTCCACACATCCACTTACTCACCAACTTACCTGCACACTCTCTTACTCGCCGATCCACGAAATAACTCACTCAAAGATTTACTCACCACCTCGCTGACACGTGCCAGTGCCTCATTGACTCACCAACTCACTGACCGGCTGTCTCACTCGCTCACTTCCTGACTCACTCACTCACTCACCCGCTCACCTACTCACACTCTCACAACCCGAGTCGCTGACGAACTACACCTGTCGACCCATACGGATTAGCCCATATTCTTGGACAGGGAAATGTAGTTTTCAAGTTCATAGCGGTCGACATCCGTTGCAATACGGGTATTTTTTCGTCTATGTGTTCGTGTTTTCCATTGTGATTAGACTTTGTAAGATGAACATTGAGATTTATAGAACGGGGATCAATTACGGTCTGAATTGGTCTGTACTAAGGTAGGGCACTGATAAGGGGTTGACAGGCATGACAAACAGACTCACTCCCCTAGCGAAGCACGAACCGATTCACCCCCCCCCCCCATTATCCTCCAGGCATTCACCCACTCACCGGCCCACGCACCAACTCGCTCACCTACCCACCGACTTACACCCGGAAGGACTCACACCCCACGAATTCACCCACCCAGCCGCCCACGAACGCAACGGATTCATTCGCCCATTCACTCGCCAATTTTTTTTCCCCTCTGGGTCACCATCGACGCAAAGGCCACGTGGTCGCTCTTTATTAATGGGTTTGCTTAAATTGTTTGCGTAGGGCTTTTAAGAAGCGGGGCGATTAGCGTGTGCTGAGCTAAAGTATCTCGCCAAAAAGAAATGCGTTCACGGGTCAGAGACGTGACCTCCAGCATGAGGGCTCAGGGGCGCATAAATACGGTGGGCTGAGACGACTTCGTCCACGACTACTCTTTGTTGTCATTCTGAGTCCTTGTTCAAGAGCCTGACCCAGCCACCGTCGCATCATGGTCAGGACGCCTGCGATTTTATTGTTTGCGGTTTTCATTTCCGTGCGCGTGTTGTGTGAGAGCGAGTGGATGGCGCGTGTACAGCGGGGAACGGGAGTGGGCCGCGAACCCCGAGGCCCGAGTTCGATTCCCGCTCACGGCCATTACCGGTGACGATTATCTGAAACGGCCCTCGGCCTCCCCTAGGTCGACTCAGCCTCAAATGAGTACCTGATGCGGTGTGTAAACAACGCTCATGTGGGAGACAAAGGCGGCCGCGTGTTGTGCTGGCCACCTATGCCCGCTCGTGTAACGTGCAGTGCTACTCGCTAACAGCAGTTGCCCCCAAATGTATGTTCAGGCGATATGGGGGATGGTTTGTCTTGGAAGAATATATTTAGCGTGGGGAGCCGTGGCGCAGTGGTGAGTGTACGGCGTACTCTTTAGTTCTTTCGGTAAAGTCACGTAGTTAGAAATAAAATAAAACAAATCACGACGTTTCAATCGCAACACAAGCGATCGTCATCATTGCCGCTTGTGTTGCGATCGAAACGTCGTGATTTTTTTTTATTTCTACCCACGTGACTTTACCGAAAGAACTAAAGAGTATGGATTCCTGCAGTCACGAAAGCTTCAAATCAAGATTGAGTGTACGGCGCTTACGAAATTCGATTGCAGCTGAAGCCCTCTCCTGACGTCTTGTCGGTCATAGGGGCTGTTTGACCATACTTCACCACGCTGGTCAGTGTGATTGGTGAATGTGAGTATCCAGGACCGGTTAAGAAGATATGATTTGCCATTGGATCGAACGCAAGATAACCGAGTTTATCGCTCAGTGCGCTAACCGCATTGTTAGTATCGTTATTATTTATGTTGATAGTAATACAGCTCATCGGCTTTTTCTAATGCCTATGACCAAATCAGTCGGAAGCTAAGCAGGTTTGAGCCTGCTCAGAAGGGCGACCGCCGTGAATAACTCATGGTTCATCACAATATCTAACTCATGTTTCATCACAATATCTAACTCATGTTTCATCACAGGATCTAACTCATGTTTCATCACAGGATCTAACTCATGTTTCATCACAGGATCTAACTCATGTTTCATCACAGGATATATAACGCATGTTCATCACAATATCTAACTCGCCCGCATCACCGGTTTGTCTCGCATTGAAGTAGACGTAACAGCGGCATAAAACCTTGCGCCCCTTCCATTTCGAACAGTCGTTTTTTAGAAGATACATTCGGAATTATTGTTTTTTGTCGAGATATCAAATGCACATTTAATGAGTCACCACTTTACCAGCCTTACTTACACACTTGTGCCATGAAGAGGGACAATTGTCCCGAAACGTCGCCTGTTAAAATGTGTTTGATGTCCATAGTGTTATTGGCAAATGTATTGAGTTGTGTTGTTGTTGTTGTTGATTATCGTGCTTGTGAACCACTGCCAACGCAGCAGCAGCAGAGGTGGTGATGGAAGGTGACTGCGATGAAACTCGTGTCACGTGTGATGTCTGGTTTTTGCCGTACCTTGTACAGATTTAGTTACTGGGTTGAGCCAACAGTCAGTAGGTTTTAAACATCATCAATCGCGTTTGACTTACAATTATTCAAACGTTATTTGCAAGCGCGAAGAATAGGGGTCACGTTCACAGCGAATTGCTCTCTTGCCAAAGAGTCTGGCTTCGATCGGTTTGTGCGGGGTCTTTTCGCGTTTATTTTTAAGAGCCTTTGACCGACGTTCACTTGCCGGCCACGGCTAACATCAGTGGCGATTGATAACTAAACCGGTTATGGGCCTCCCCTAGGTCGACTCAGCCTTAAAGGAGTGCATGGCGCAGCCTATAAACATCGGCACCGGGAAAAAGACCAGGGGCGGCCGGGCGTGGTGCTGGGCACACTTTACTTCCCCGCGCGCGCCTTTCCCGGCATGAATAGTTCGCTTTTTGTTTTAAACAGCACTGATCCCCAACGGTCTATGTGAGCTACATAGGGGGTAGAGACATTTATCATTGGCTCAACGTCCGCCGTTTCGAATGTAAACGTGTAATAACCACAACTCATTGTGTAATAACCACAACTCATTGTTTGCCGATGTTTGTTTTTTTGACACAGAAACTTCTGCTGATCGCGCTGCTGTTCTGTGGGTTGGTGCCGATGTACCACGCGGCCGTTCTACGTGAGACATTGCGCACACACACAGCTCCAATTATCACGGTTGGCTACGTACGGTGCGAAAGAAGATCAACATACATACACACACATACCAATAGCTGCCATTCGCCACTAAGTGACGGCGACGTCACCACGGCGCTTGTGCCAGGCCAGGTGCACTTTGAGGCCACGTGAAGTATTGAAGGATCGCTGACAGGAGGTCACCAGACAGACTCAAGAGCCATGGGATAGCTGACTGAGATGACCGGTAGATGCACCAGCTGTACCCCCTACTGTGGCAACTTGCTGCATCTTAGCCGCCCGGCGCTCCGCTCATTGTTGTGAGCGTCGCTCCTCCGCCCTCCGTTGTTGTTGGAGGGCGACTGCCTCCAACTGCCCAGAAGCGTCCTTCACGGGCCTCCTTCACATACGCACATACGTGACATCACCATCGCACCGACGGTGAACTTTCAATCATCCGCGTGCACCTTTATTCGGGTTTCGAATTAACCGAGCTTGCTAGATTTTTTTAAAATAAAATAATCATTAGCGTCGTTGTGGAAATTATAAGTTACACAAGAAATAAGCCGACAATACGCCTTGCTATATAAATTAAAATATATATTTTGCACGTAGCATTATCCACACATGGCGTTCCCTAAAATGAATAGTGTAATGTGTGTATTTGTCTATTTATTTTATTATCTAAAATATGGCATCACACGCGCCCAATTAGTGACTTTACATGCGGGGCCTAGATCAATTAATGCGCAGCTGCTTTTCACCTCGTGGTTCCGTGGCGGATTTGACATTCCCCCTCCTCCTCCCCAAAGACACGCGGCAGCACACCGACAGCCCAACGCGCACAACTGCTTCGTTCGTGGGAAATTAAAGGCAGAGCCGCAGCAATGCGCCTGTGGCCATGCGACCCACACCACGGACCGCACAGTGAACCCACCGTGGTCTGCACTCCTTCAGCGGAGAAGGAGGAGGAACCGCAGCACCACACGAACTCTCTCTCTCTTGCTGTGCTGAAGCCCTCTCGTCGTGGCATGTAGCAGACCACGACGTTGGCATTTAGCTCCTGGACGCGCTGTTACCATTCGTAAGAATTGAATAGTGACGGGTTATTTTAGAGTTAAACAAAACAAATGTCAATTAAACATTTCATGTCTTCCCCCGTTGCCAGGGGCCGGCAAAACAAAATCACAAAAATGGCCACATGTTTCGAATTTGGTTAAAAAACCGCAAATATTTCGAGAGCTGCGATGCAAGCGGTGAATACGAGACGGTGGTTGTCCCTAATAACTGGCGACACGAAGCGGTCCTTGAAGAGCCACACGCGGCTCCAGAGCTGCAGGTTGCCAACCCCTGGCCATTCGAGATATTTACATCATTCTAGACACTACATGGCGAGAACTACAGTACCAGATGCCAGCTTAGATCTTCATAAATTAACAAGCTTGAACTGGCACATCGCTGGAGGTAGAGTCCTGTAAATTTTGAAAGGATGAACAGTGTTTTAAAATGTCGGCTTTCACGATCAGTATTATAGTTCACGATTTAGTTGATATTGAGTAAGACGGTGATGGTTACAGTTTAACACGTAGATCGCATGAATATAAATGTGTCGTTAAACCCGCCGCCTACCCGACACAGCCAATCTGTAAGGTTTGTCACATAAACAGAACATGCCAATTCGTTACTAGTACAGCACACCGGTGTGTTTAAGATTACAATGTCACTTGTTTTACTATGAACATGGTTATAACTATATACCGACACGATCTAACCCCCCAAAAAACACGAATTATGTTGAGTTTGAGTTTAATTTGTTAAATGCATGGTCCCACAAGGGAGATCCGTGGCGTTTCTGGATCGAACGTGTTTTTGGCCTTGCATGACAACAACTGCCATGCGATCACCACACTGCATGCACAATGCTTCTCAGCCTTGTCCAAACCACCACCACGACCAACTCAAGAGCTGAACGTTTAGATCGCAGAATTACTTCGTCGTTTCGACGACCGACTCGTGGAATTGAGACGTGCGTCTTTATAACCTCCTTGCCGACCACCCCTCCCCACGTCCACCGCGACTCACACAGAGCCTGCAGTGCAGATCATCTCGAGGGGATGCAGCTCGCCAATGGGACTCGTGCCAATCGGAGCGTCTTGGCGCAACGCCAAATGTGAAACGTGCATCTGTGGCGCCAACTACATTCCGACCTGTACTCTCAAGTAAGCCGAGAAGTCACCACCACATTTTACGTGTTGTTGTTGGATGTGTTTTTCAACCAATCTAATCCTCTTCTTGGCTCTTTCGGTAAAGTCACGTAGAAGGGAAATGATAACATAATGAAAATAAAACATAAGAAAATACAATTCTCACGACGTTTCGGCCACAACGCAAGCAGCCGTCCTCCTGCTGCTTGCGTTGTGGCCGAAATGTCGTGAGAATTGTATTTTATTATGTTTTATTTTCATTATTGTATTATTTCCCTTCTACGTGACTTTACCGAAAGAACCAAGAAGATGAATCCCTGCAGTCACGAAAGCTTTAAATCGAAATTCAATGTTATCCTGTTTTACACAAACTCGCTTCACGCGTTGCTATAGGTCAAAGCAAATGGAGGGTGCAGAGTTTCGCGTTCTGTGTATTCACGTAGACATATAAATGTCGTGTTAGTCCACCGGCCTATTGGTTTTCCACGCCAATATTATCAAGCGGCATTTTGTTCAAGTGGTAAAACTCTGGACCGGTTTTGACCTCTCTTGGCTTCGTCAGCAGGGTCAGTTTAAGCGTTTGAACACAGAGAGCCCGGATAAAGAAAAAAAAACAGATGAGTCTTCACAATCAATCAGTCGCCCCGGATTCACCAGAGGCACTGCACAAAGCAACAACCTACCCTACTCAACACTTTGGTCAATAACATTACAAAAAGGTAAAATGTGTATATATAATAGGCGACGTTTCGGGCAATGGCCCATCTTCACAGTACATACATTCTTCAGTATTGTTCTAAATTATATATTGTTTTATATATAATTATAGACAATTTTACTTGATTTTAAGCTTTCGTGACTGCAGGAATCCATACTCTTTGGTTCTTTCGGTAAAGTCACGTAGGTATAAATAAAATAAATCACGACGTTTCGGGCGCAAGACACAAGCGTCCAACACAAGCGTCCGGATGCTTGTGTTGCGCCCGAAACGTCGTGATTTATTTAATTTCATACCTACGTGACTTTATCGAAAGAACCAAAGAGTACAATTTAACTTTCCAATTATTGTTGTTGATTGAGCACCAGTTGAACAATAGAGTATCACCAAATAATTACTTTGTTTAGTCAGGCTGATTAAACAAACGCTTCTCTATTAGCCAATGTTCTTTTTCGGCAAGAGTGCTCCACATACGACCTAGATCCCTGATCAACAAACAAGTAACATCATACACAACATGATGTGTGGGTATCCGTGGAGCATTGTGGGTACACGATAATACGAACATATGTCCTTCTGTCTCTCGGTGAAAATCGGATAGGCTGACGGACCAGAATTCTGTTCCGTTTGATTTCCTTGTGCTTGTGATATCCAAACCACGTCACGGTGATACCAACATCAATGCCACGTCACAGCACCTGCGAAAGAAGTTCAGCAGACAAACGTCGCATAGAGACAGCTGACACCGGGCTCCCATTGGCTAGACTGCAGCAGGGCATTGGGATGGTGGAGAGGACACGTGATGCTAGGCGCTGCCACTTGTGGAGGCGTCTAAGCGTGCGCCATGTAAACGTAAACCCGCATCCCTATAACGAAGCGACACAGGACATGGGATATTCCTGTACTACATGATGGGTTAATAACTTGTTGTGGAACATTATGGGTAAATAACACACATCTGTTATAGTCCATCGGCTTATTGGCTTTCCATACCAATGTTATCCAGCAACATTTGTTGTTTAACCAGAGCAAACCGTGGACCTCATTAGCGAGCGTGTCAGCCTTGTTAACAATAAATGCTGCTTCGATCACCCACTGTTATTCTGTTCCAGTTTTTAAAAAAAGTGACACCTCTGATGTTACCCGACCCCACTGCCCATCTGCCACAGGCTCTCGATTCCAGTGATGTACGACAGCGACTGCGAGCTGTTGCTGGACACGAAGTTGTGCATTTACAAGGTGGTAAAGATTGCCGACCACACGATCTCGTGTCCCTACCGGGGCATGATCTACCCGACATCGAAGTAACACGCGGAACGACCAAAAAATGTTTTCAAGAAACACGCTCGAGAAAGCATCTTCAGACTAACGACGCTCACCGCGTTGTTAGTCTTTTTGGCCGTGGCATCCATTTGCGCTTACAGCTACACATAGATACATTTTGGTGATTAAGATTGTGTTACAACAATAGGGACATGTCATTGGTCCACGGGCCACAGCGGATACGGGACACCACCTCTGGCTGCTAAAACTTAACAGTATCGATGAGCAATTCACTTGGTGAATGATAATCAATTAGTTGATTACCCCACTCGGTGCAAATGGTTATCGCGTAATTCGCTGTTATTCTTCACGTAAGGAAATTGAAACAGTTAGGTCACCAACAAGTCAAACATCTGGTCTGGAGCCCGTGGACCACTGAGTGATAGATTCCCGCTAATGCCTCTTATTTAGACGCTGCTTGGCCACACACTCAAATATTGTTGTTTTCTTTTCTTTTGGGGCTGAACTGTTGTTTGAACAATTAAGAAAAGCATCATCAACATCAATAAAAAACCGAAAAACTGCAATTCTATTGCACGGGTGTTGTGGAGTATTTGCCTTGTGTTAATGTTCAAGTTGCTCGCTAGGGATCTGTTATCAATGATAGTTTAACACGACAGCCAGATTTGTGGAGAAATCCTCCTGTTTCGTTCCTTAAATAGAGGGAGAAATTTGATGACGCCATCAAATCGATTATCAAAATCCACTGAGTGTCCTTATTGGCACGCGTGGTTTGCCAATGCCGACAGTTGTATTTGGGAATATTTTATATTGATTTGGTGTTCGTTTAGCCTCGTGCTGATCAGCAGAACACGCGTACCAACAAGGACACTCAATTGATTTTGATAATGTAGACGTTTTGTGCAAAACTAGTTACTACTGGCCAAGACTAATTAGAGAATCTATCGTAATTGAGAGAAATAAAAATAATTGTAACCGTTCGGATAACTACAGGCTTAGTCCTGCTTGGAATAGAATCATGAAATAACACATTGTTTAAATGCATGCCTATACAGGTCACCATACTTCAATCGGTATTAACGTTGGTACGGATATTTTAGTAAACACAATCGACAGGAGATACAATAATATGGATGCATTATGTGCGTTGATTATCATATAAATAACCCACAAATTAAATCGTGAGACACCGTCCGTGCCTGATGATTGGTCAACGAATTTAACCAGGTGAGAACTCAATGTGCCAGGATCGGAGTCTCGTTTGTAAAAAGGTGGACCTACCTGGGTCACCGACATGGTAACATCGATGCAAAGTGCAAGCGATAAAGTAAAACAGAAACAAAAATCCTCGAGAAAATTTGAGGATATGGCACACAGTAAATCAACGTCAAATCACGGTTAAATATTCAATTTCCTGCAGTGCCACTCAGCTCTGGGAAGACTATTTTTAGACTGATCATAGTGAAATTAGAACATTAAATTCTGAAGTACACTATTGTATAAACAAATGATGATTACAAATCAAACTCTACGGATAATATTTATGTGAACCAGCGCTCTCGACATCACGTGGGACAGCAACATCAACCGCCGCTCGCCACTAAATGGCGGTGACGTCACCGCGTCGCTTGTGCCAGGCTAGGTGCACCCAGCGGCCACGTGAAATGCCGACGGCTCGCTGCTGGCAGGAGGTCACGGGGCAGACCCAGATCCCATGGATTAACTGACTGAGATGACTGGCAGATGCACCACCTGAGTTCCCCACAATGTGTACACGTGGTGGGGGTGTGTACACGTGGTGTGTATGTGTACGCGTGGAGTGTGTGTGTGTGTACACGTAGTGTCTGTGTCCTCGTGGTGTGTGTGAACACATGGTGTGTGTGTGTACACTTGGTGTGTGTGTGTACACGTGGTGTGTGAACACGTGGTGTGTGTGTATATGCACGTATTGTGTGTGTACACGTGGTGGGTGTGTGTACACGTAGTGTCTGTGTACACGTGGTATGTGAACACATGGTGTGTGTGTACACGTAGTGTGTGTGTGTACACGTGGTGCGTGTGTGAATACATGGTGTGTGCTCACACCGCGAACAAGGCAGTGTCATCACCAAAAATAACACGCAGAGATCTGTATGAAAAATAAATTGTCTCGTATTGAAAAAACCACGAATCATCAGCCATGATCTATCCCCTGCTGGATGAAGTCTCAATCTCTCACGGTCTCACCCACCGCTTTGCACGCGAGCCGATCTCATCTCTATCCACCCATTGATGAGTCTAATATCGAGGCGAATATCATTATGAGCAGAACTCCATTCTACGCACGTAGATATAATAAAATATGATTGTAGTCCATCGGCCTATTGGCTTTCGGGGTTTGTATTATCAAACAGTATTCGTTGCCAGCAAGCAATCTCTGGACTGCTTTCGGCCTTGAGAAAAATTAAAAATGAACACATTATAGGTTTTCGAGCAATTCTTTACAGCACAATTGCTGTCATCACGAGGGCAGGCGTTCGTCCTGCGGCTTTACCCCTTTTTAAATGAAGGCTTTGGGTAGGCGGCAGATAATTTCGGACTGACGTTAATCGTAAATGATAACAAACTCGGGATTTTAAAATTGAAAACAAAAACTAAACGACGCAGATCGTCAGGGGACTCATTTAATGACTCGTGACTTCTCAGGCGACGGCGCGATCCGCCCCTGACGCTCGCGTCTTGGAGCACTTCGCTTGCGCCTTCAAGACGACGGTGGGGGAGGCGCGTTAAGCTCCGATCCGGACACGGACAATCCGTACCGCACACAGACACACAGACACACACACAGGGCAAACTCGCCTCGGGGTCGATTGAGTTGGGGGCCAAGCAAAGGGACACTCGGAGATGCTGACGGATGAACTATACATGCTGGGGCGAAGGTAGACCACAGCGCATGCACACGTGCTTGGACTGTATACGTGTGCGTCGTGGAACTTATCTTACTTGTGTTATTGGTTCTTTCGGTAAAGTCACGTAGAAGGGAAATAATAAAATAGTAAAAATAATGAACCAATAAAATTCTCACGACGTTTCGACTGCAACACAAGCAATCATCATCAGGTGTGAAATCCACAGCAAGATTTTTATTTTTGTAATATTTGCATTATTTTATTATTTTCCTTCTATGTGACTTTACCGAAAGAACCAATAATATGAATCCCTGCAGTCACGAAAGCTTTAAATCAAAAATGTATCTTACTTGGTTTGTTGTCCTGCCCCCGCACCTCCGATTCGCACGGTTGGCTACGTACGGCGCGAAAGAAGTTCAGCATATGTAGTTATTCCTCGGCATTTATGTGCTACGAAGAAGGGCCATTTCTCGAAACGTCGCCTATTTTTTTATGTTTGATCATTTTAAGGCCACGAAGTGTTGTTGACGAACGTGTTGAGTATGTTATTGTCGTTCTTGTTACTTGTGCTTGTGCCTCACTGTCAACGCAGCAGCAGCAGCAGCAGCACCAGATGCTGCGTTTTACTCGTTAGCTGGAACCAACCTGCACGACCTTTCGCCCGTGACCGTCCGTCCTCGTGACCGTCCATGGGACGTGACAATTGCAGACGATAGGAGAGACAGAGAAACGCAATATATAAATGCGCAGCCAGCCAGCAAACCTTTTAGAATATATAGTATGAAGAGTTTGGCGGAGGGGTGGGTGGTGGTGTGGGAGGGGATATAGAAAGTTGATGACAACAACGATAATGACAACAACGATAATTGTACAGCCGAACCAACAACAACAACAAAACCTCTCTTGTGGATATTGGTCGCGACGTCCTACGTGTCAAATTGAAATATATGCTGAACTCCTTTTGCACCGTACGTTTCCAACCGTGCTCATCGAATGACAATAAACTTAACACAATCGATGTCAGGCGGTATTAAGCCAATACACAGGGTGCTTTAAAAAATGTTACACTTTTATACAGGACTATCGTTTTTAATGGAAAAAGAACGTATAATAACACCGTAACGTGATAACAAATGTGATGTTAGTAGCTTCCAAAAGTCAAATAGCCTCCCACTTGTTCGCCATCGTTGTCAACGCGTGCCTGGAATCTTCTCCAGGTGGTCTCCAGAGCCTGGAGGCGGCACATTTCTCGCGGTATTGTTGCAAATTCTCGGAAGTGTTCACATTTTTGTGAAGCACCCTGTATGTCACACACGCTATCGCAGCAAGTGGATTCGTGACCAGCGGCGACGCGGAACCCTTCGGCGATAAGAACCCGCACGCTGGTTCGGTTGTTCTCCTGCTGCTTCAGTTTCCTCCCCAAATAAGCAAGTTTCAAGTTTTCAAGTTTCATTTATTAGGTATAGCCCTGTGAGCCATTCGGCTCTTGAATCGGGTGCAACCGCAACAAACAAAAAAACAAAACCATGAACAAGAAAACATCTTAAAGTGACTATGTGCAAACAGAAAATCTCGTCGTCATCATCATGGAATTCTCAAAAAAAATCCAAACGTAGAATGGCATTCGTGATAAAAAAAACACTAAGGGGAGACTCGAGATTCAGCGAGGCTCTTCTGGCTAAATAGATAACAACGACTGTTAATGTTATGCACGTTAGAATTCCGAGAGGCGAGCCGTGTTAAAGCGGAGCGACGTGGTCATTTGTCTCGCGCTTGAACCCCGCGCCCGCCGGTTGACCCGCGCCAGGGAACTGGTCCGGTGTTTGCTCTTGAGATCACTGCGCGCGTCTGTCTCTGTGTGTGTGCACTCTTCGGATCTCTGTGCAATCACGAAACCGTCTCGCGGCCCGGCCGATTGGACCGACAGCTCGGCCTAAAGCCCTCGAGCACACGAGCGAGTGGGCGGCTAATCCTTTTGTATAATAAACTTAATGTGTCCATTAGCCCGGCGGTCATGCCATCGGTGACAGCAGCTCGCTCGAGTGGTGGCCGGCTCAGGCTCGAGTCCAGAGACGGTTGCTGAATAACACGAATAATGTTGCGTGACTCTCTCCCCTTGCCCGTGCAACGTCAACGTCGCCATCTCCTGACTCGCCACGGCATTCGCAGGTCTCGTTCGCATGGCCCCAGGGCTCGGCAACCAAAAACAACAAGGAGGGGCATTTTTCGAATTCGGCACAAAACTCGATATTTCAAGAGCCGCGATGCCACGTGGATAACGGCGTCACGACGCAGTCCTTAAAGAGCCGCACGCGGCTTCTTGCATGGCCGTTGTCGATAGCGAGGAACGACTACTCTGATTATACTACAGTGAGGTTGTTGAGCCAGTTAATGGGAGTGTCGGCAAGTAGATTCTTGGTTGTGGATGGGGATTGAGTGCGACCCACCGCCACCTCCGGGCCCAGCACCCGCCGCCCCCCATGAACGCGTTGGGTGTGCTTCGGGCACTTGGGTTTCCTCCAACGCGTGTACTTACCGCTCATCAGTGGAGGTGGGCAAGCATCGCCGCCGCGTAGAACCGCAGAGCTCGGGCAATTCGTGGCGTCGGTTCTGGCAGCTTTTGCTGTGGTTTCCCACGCCTCTGAAACGAAAATCTGTTCGCGTTACGAATTCTACAGCGGTT